GAGTTTATATATCCCTGAGGTAGAACACTAAAAATGTGTTACTGGCCTTGCCAAAAGAAGCCAAACTGCCTCAGGTGATCCTTTGAAACCAGAATCGAGAAAAAGGCATTGGCCAGATCAGTAGTTTCATACCAGGTTACCAGGAGGTGTATTAATTTACTCAAGCAATGAAACCACATCTGCAGCTGCAGTTGGAGTCACCTGGTTATGTTTACGATCATCCACTGTTATTCTCCAAGATCCATCCATTTTTTGCACAGGCCAGATAGGCGAGTTGAATCGGGATCTGGTGGGAATCACCACCCCTGCATCCCTCAAGTCCTTGATGGTGGCAGTAATCTCTGCAATCCCCCCAGCAATATGGTATTGCTTTTGGTTTACTATTTTCCTAGGTAGAGGCAGTTCTGATGGCTTCCACTTGCTTTTCCTACCATAATTGCCCTTACTCCACATGTCAGGGATCCAGTGTGTGGCTTTGCCAGTTGCTGAGAGTGTGTATTCCAGTTCTGCATTCTGGAACTAGGGAAATCACTACAGGATGGGTTCAGGGACCCACTGGCCCCACTGTGAGACGGACCTGTGCTAAGACTTCATTAATAACCTGACCTCCACATGCTCCTACTCTGACTGGTGGGCCACAGTGACGTTTTACATCTCCTAGAATTAGTATCAGTTCAGAGCCAATGTCCAGTAATCCCTGAAAATTCTGATTATTTCCTTTTCCCCAATGAACAGCCACTCTTGTAAAAGGCCGTAGATCCCCTTAGAGAAGGATTAACAGAAAGGGAGAAAGATCAACAGTATAAATTTTTGGCAGTGCAATAAGGTCCTTCCTTAAGGGGACCCAGCCTCCCCTTCATTCAAGGGATTGTGGGTCTGTAAACTCAAGCCTGGGAATTAATTGAGGGACCCTGACTCTCTGTTCTTGCAGTGCTGGTTGGACTGCTGTTCACTTGACCTAGAATTCTTCTGTTTGTACATACCAAGTAAATATTTAGTAGATTTCCCATCTGTTTCCCTCCTGAGGACACCATGACTAAGTAGCCAACCCAATTCTGAGTACCACCGTCCATTACAGTAACCACACCTACCTTGTTTTTGTCAATTAAGTGCTGCCACTTGGCCCCTGCCACCACAGGGTCCAGTGAGCCCCATAGTAGTGAGGTGTCTTATTTCAGTTAGGGCAGTTCCCACTATCAAATCTGACTTACATAAAATAGCAATCACAGCAGTTTTCAAGGATGCTGGGACTCCCCTCACAAATCGGTTCCTCTGTTGTGGTGAAAGGTGTGTCCTCTGGGCACTGCATGGGTGGGTCTGTGGGTCTACCTTGATAAATCCTCTTTAACATGCCAGTTTCCTTAAGCCTTTGGATACCTTCTTCTACAGTATACCAAGGCAGGTCTGGCATTTCAACCTGATTTAGTGTAGGCCACCACTTAAACCATGCTTCAGCGACCAAACCAAATCAACTATTAGATCCTTTTCTAACCTTTCAAGCTGAAACATTGCATGAAGGATCTGTACTTAATGTGCCCATATCAATAAACTCAGACTGATCCAACTTTATGTTCCTTGCACCATTATCCCACACTCTTAACAGCCATTCCCACACATATTCCCCAGGTTTCTGTTTGTATGTATTAGAAAAACCAAGCAGTTCTTTGGGCACATAGCATACCTCCTCCTGGATCACACTTTCTACTTCACCCTTTGGGGCTGGCTGGGACTTCAGTCTAGTTATAGGTCTAGAAGCAAAAATGAGCAGTGGGTATGAGTCCTGAGGACATTCAGCAGTGTCCTGTAAGGCATCTGCCTCAGGCGATGCCCTGGGCGCTGTCCTAGACAATATCTCAGACAAAGACTCTTCAGGCACAGCTGGGTTAATCTCACTAGACAGATGAGGGTGGATGGGGTAATGGTTTTCCTAGGGAGGGTGGCTTAGGCAGAGATGGAGTAATCTCTTCTCTGACACATTTCCCCTCTCTGACCTCCTGGACTATTGCCAGGCCTTCTTCCTTCCTCTGTTCTATGGCAGTAGAGCCTGCAAGAGTTATTTTCATAAAGACATCTTAGTAGAATAACCCATAGGATCTTAAGCTACTTAAGATAATGATGAAAAAGAGTCACATACAATTGTTCATATTGAGTATATGTAGGCGGGGCATCACCATGGTGAACGTAATTAATGTCACTAAATCGTGCGTGTAAATATGGCTGAAATGGTAAATGTTTTGTTAGATATGTTTTACCACAATTTTTTTTTTTTTTAATAAGAAGGACAAAAAGTAAGCAGAGCAGCTCTGGAGGGTGGAGGACTCAGCCTGGAGTGGCAGGCCGTCCTTCCCTGAGTTGCTGGACGGTGCCTCCTTGATAGCAGCTGGGTCATGTGACTTGGTGCTCAGCTGCATCCTGGGAATGTGATGCCAGGTCTCACCCACCGTGAGAACAGGCATCGGTGTCCCTGTAATGTTCATAACTTCAGGTTGGATGTTCTTAAAGGAAGCAGAGTTGGGTCTCAAAGCGTTTGCTTCCTTTATTTGCCCTTCAGATGAGTGAAAGGGGATCTGTATAAAGTTGTGGAAACCAGAAGGATAATTAAATAGAGCGGAAGAGTTATCTTTTTTAATGGTCGTAGAACTAAAACAGATTTTTCTTTGATATTGCTTCTAGCCAGAACATTTGTTGATGTTAGCTGCCATGGAATCAGCTCAGACTCATGGCAACCTTATATATAACAGGATGAAATTGTTGCCTGGTATTTTGCCATCTTCACAATTATTTGTATGCTTGAGTCCATTGTTGAGACCATTGTGTATTTTGAGCACCTTCCAACCCTAGAGGATCCATCTTCCAGCACTATATCACACAATATCCTGTTGTGATCCATAGGGTTTTCATTGGCTAATTTTTAGAAGTAGATCACCAGGCCTTTCTTCCTAGTCTGTGTTAGTCTGAAGGCTCCCCCAAAAGCTGTCCACCACGGGTGACCCTGCTGGTATTTGATGTACTAGTGACATAGCTTCCAGTTAATAGTCACACACAAGCCACCACAGTATGACAAACTGACAGACGATGATGGAGAACCTTCTTTAGGCTTCTGCTAAGGGGTGAGACACCTGTTCTTTCATATAGGTTTCCATTTGCCCACCTGATAAATTTATCACTTCTAAGAGTCTACACTTCTGTCTGATAATGTCCCCAGCACCACCACTCGTCCTTCAAGATCAGACTTTATTATGTTTTGTTTAGCACTCACCAGATCAGAAGCATCATAGTAAGATCCTTAATGCTGGACCGTGATCTCAAAGAGAAGTTTAAATACTATCAAGTCTTGATGAAAATTGCTTTTGATAAATACAGAGAGATTCACATTTCTGAAAGCCTCTTCTCATTGGCAAACCAAGCAAGCTTTGTACTGGCAGCTTCTGTCCTTCGTGTTATATATATGTTTTTATATTATATGTACATTTATATATTTAGTTTATGTGTATATATAGATATATTTAATTTGTATATATATTTTATTAAAGATACAATCTCACATCAGCAGAGCGTACTCGTTGCATTTCTAAGAAGAGAATGTGATAGAAACTCTTCTAGAATTATTTGTGGTAGATTTTCAAAAACACTCAGGAGCCAAGAGCAGGAAAGATGAGGCTTCTCTGCGTCAAGTGGCAGGGGGATTCTTTGTTAGCTTTGTTACCCATATGTTATTGAGAGGATGGAGCAGAGAGTCTGGAAAATGGTGTCGCCAAGAGCATCATGCATCATTATAGACCAAAATGGCTCACAAGAGCATAAAGCAAGTTGTGAGACAGGGAGGGTATTCTTTTGGCTACCCCGCCACACCCGCCCCCGCCACTGCCCCCAGAATGCCTCCATGCTGACTGTTAATGCAAAAACCTAAAAATATTTGACACTGGTTTTTTAGGGAATAATTCAAGACTTCTTATCCACTTATTAAATCTGAAAGTGCAAAATTAAAAGCTACCTTGATGGGAGGGAGGGAGCTTAATATTTGCATAACTTTGAAAAAAATTAGGAATTCTGATATAAAGAGCCAATTATCAGACACACTTAGCTTTTTTGACAGACAGTGGATTGAGGTGCCCGTTTTTCAATAGCTACATTCATTTAGTTCCCATTCCGGTATTCTGAGGAGCCCTGGTGGCGCAATGGTTAAGTGTATGGCTGCTAATCAAAAGGTCAGCAGTTCAAATCCACCAGCTGCTCCTTGGAAACCCTATGCAGCAGTTCTACTGTGTCCTGAAGGGTCACTATGAGTTGGAATCGACTGGAACTGAACTGAGATAGAGCTTCAGTGATTCTGTCCTAATTCCAAATGAGGTTTTCAGAATTGCATTCTAAATGTCAGTTTCTATATGTGCATTTACATTTTTGGAACCAAGATGCTCTCAGCGAAAAATAGCCATAATCACTCAACAAGCACCAAGAGAAGACTTCCATGTGATGGTAAAGCCACATTTTAGACATTTTCTGGATTTCTTTTTTTCTTATTTTTTTCCTTTTCTGAAAAAATTGTAGCTTACCATACTTACGGTACTTAGACTCAAGGTGTGGACCTGGCCTGGGGCTGATTCATGAACAATGAGATGAGCGTTTAGAAACCTTCATAGCAATTTGACTTTCATTTTATGTCTGCTGAATCTAACAGTAATAATAAAAAAGAAAATGAGGGCTTGTATTTTATACATCTTTTTTATTTTACCTTTCTAGTAATATACTTTTATTTTACTTCACAAATGTTTTTCTCATCTTTACAGGTAAGAAATTTTAAAAAATTAAAAAAAAAAAAAAACTGGTCCTTCACCCCCAGGAAGTTTGAGAAGCATATTCTAGAAAGTTGGCCATGTGTGTTCAGTGCAAACTTAAGGAGAACGAAATCCCCCCCCCCCATCAAGATATCCCTAATTCAGAGATGTCTTCCTTCTACCAGCCACGCTCTTTAGTTCTGACGTGGGCCCTCTCTTGGTTAGGTCTTCCTTCGCGAATCCTTGGAACAGAAACTGGAGAAGCGGCGGGAGGAGGAAGTGACCCGGGCGGCCATGGTGATCCGGGCACACATCTTAGGCTACGTGGCACGGTAAGACCAACATTACACCCCCGAGGAGTCCGTTCCCCACCGCGTGTCACCAGGTGACAGCGTGAGTCGTGCGTGCGTTCTGTTCAAAGCAGACTGGGGTCCTAGTGAGGATGAGGCAGAGGGGAGCCCCAGGTCAGTGCTGCTGACCAGCAATGCTGGAGCCCACTAAGCCTGAACAGGGCAAAAAGGAGAGCAGGGACTGAGTCACTTTTTGCCACCTCACTTGGAGCAGTGACATTAAGGGACTCTGCCAAGATACTTGACTTGTTTACCTAGTTAGTGCCTCTCCGTCACATATGAAAGCCACAAGCAGCCAAGCTGTCTCCTTTACTATCTCATTGAATCAAGAGAGGCCCATCCCTCCGTTTGCAGAATGAGGCAGTTTCTTTTCGCATGCATTTTAGTTCTGGCCGCCTATGCTGAAGAGCACGCCACGAGAAACCCTACATGGGGCCTTTTCTGAAGTACAAAGCCGTCCTGCAGTTGTGGGGTTTTTGTTTTGTTTTTCACAGGGCTTCAAACTGGTTCATTCCGGTTCAGATTTCTGCTGAGAAGAATCACCTGGGGGTCTTATTAAAATGTAAATTCTGATTCAGTGTATAAGGGGTAGAAATGTACATTCTCAGCAGGGGTCCGAACCAGTGCATTCAAACCCTGGTTTTTCATATATGAGCCGGCCACCAACCACCACCACCACCATTTGCTATTGATTTAACTCTTACTCATGGCAACCCCACGTGCGTTAGAGAATAATGCTCCATAGGGTTTTCAGTGGCTGATTTTTCAGAAGTAGATCACCAGGCCTTTCTTCTGAGGCTCCTCCGGGTGGACTCTAACCTCCAACCTTTCAGTTCGCAGCTGAGCACATTAGCCATTTGTTCCACTCAGGGGCTGCATGTGAACAGGAGAATATATCAAATCTTTTTTGGTCCTGTTTACAACGCATCTTCCTGCCCCGACAATTGAAAGTAAGCATTCGGGGGTTGTGTGTTTATTTAGCCAAAATAATGATAGGGTCCTTGCTGTTGTTTTGTTACTCTTCTGTTTCTCTTGCTTTGTTTTGACTAAAGGGGCCTCCTTGTTCTCCCAGCTCCATAATGAGCATGACAGAATGAGACGATCATTGCGAAGCCAGACCCCTCCCCTATGTTTTGCAGCATCCATGTAAGCTCGTTTGAATTGCTCGATGCTTCATTAACCTCAACGGTTATTCTGTTTTGTTTTGTTTTTGTTGGTGTTTTTAGAAAGCAGTACAGAAAGGTCCTTTCTTGTGTAGTGATACTCCAGAAGAATTTTAGGACATTCCTTCTGAGGAGGAGATTTTTGCACCTGAAAAAAGCAGCTGTAATTTTCCAGAAGCAGCTCAGAGGTCAGATTGCTCGGAGAGTGTACAGGCAGCTGCTGGCCCAGAGACGGGAGGAGGAAGAAAAGAGGAGACAGGAGGAAGAGGAAAGGTACGGTTCACTTACAGCTTGGCGGAACCGGAAGGACGGCTTTTGAGTTTGACGCTCAGTATCTACCCATGCCTCAGGAATTCCCGGTGGATGCAGCTGAACCTACTGTTTGCAGCCGTCACTCTTGGTGTCTTAAATGCAAAATTTCTTGGCAGCATTGAAGACCCAGTTCTATGTATGTTTGTGTTTGTGCACAGAATAAGTGCAATGCCAAAAGAAAACGCTATACCCTTCGTGCTTTTTAAGCTGTCTTTAGCAAAGCATTTTAAAAGAAAAATTTAATCTCTGTGATAAGGATTTGTTGTTGATTTTCACTTTCTTCTTTTTTTTACTGTTTTTAGAGAGAGAGAAAGAGCACGCAGAGAAGCTGAGATCCGCGCCCAGCAGGTGAAGAATGCTTTGACAACTTGGCATCTCATTTTTCCATTGCCTTCATACTTCCAAGAGTCCCTGGGTGGTACAGACAAACAGTGAACATGCTAAGCTGATAGCCAAAAAGTTGGAGGTTCAAGTCCAGCCAGAGGCACGTTGGAAGAAAGGCCTGGCACTCTACTTTTGGAGAATCAACCATTGAAAGCCTTATGGTGCACAGTTGTACTCTGACACACATGGGGTCTCCATGAGTCAGAGTCAATGGCAATTGGATCCCATTTCAAATATTTTGACTCAAAGATTCAAAACTAAAATAGAAAGGTATAAAAAGAAGAACTTTAGAAGAAATGTTAACGATGCAATTTCTAACCCTTTACAGTTGATTTCTGGGTAGGATCAAGCTTAGTGAATCTCTGAGATTTTAATGTGCATCACTGCAGGGTAGTTTCTTTAAATGTGAACCACACTTTGTTGTGGCTTTTCATTTGCAATGCAAGTCACTGGGTGGTAGAAGGATTTGCACTAGAAGTTTGAACCCACCAGCAGCACCGTGGAAGAAAAGCCTGGCAATCTGTCCGTAAAACACTGCAGCCAAAAAACCCGGTGGAGCACAGTTCTACTCTGTAACACCTGGGGTCACCATGAGTCAGAGTCGACCTGACGGCAGCTCGTTTGGTTTTTCTTCATTGCAAATGAATGGTGTTTGCATTTTTTGCTGTAGTGAAACGTTCTCAAATCTACCTTACTTTTATGCCCAGGAGGAAGAGGCCAGGAAGCAGCAAGAACTGGAAGCCTTGCAGAAGCGCCAGCAAGAAGCGGAGCTGACCCGCGAGCTGGAGAAGCAGAAGGAGAACAAGCAAGTGGAAGAGATCCTCCGCCTGGAGAAGGAGATCGAGGACCTGCAGCGCATGAAGGAGCAGCAGGAGTTGTCGCTGACCGAGGCCTCCCTGCAGAAGCTGCAGCAGCTGCGGGACGAGGAGCTCAGGAGGCTGGAGGATGAGGCTTGCCGAGCCGCCCAGGAGTTCCTGGAGTCACTGAACTTCGACGAGATCGATGAGTGCGTGCGGAACATCGAGCGCTCCCTTTCTGCGGGAAGTGAGTTTAGCGAACTCGCAGAGTGCGCGTCCGGGGAGAAGCCCAACTTCAATTTCAGCCAGCCTTACCCGGAGGAGGAGGTGGACGAGGGCTTTGAGGCGGACGACGACGCCTTCAAGGATTCCCCCAACCCCAGCGAGCACGGCCACTCTGACCAGAGGACCAGCGGCATCCGGACGAGCGACGACTCTTCCGAGGAGGATCCCTACATGAACGACACTGTGGTGCCCACGAGTCCCAGTGCAGACAGCACCGTGCTGCTCGCCCCGTCGGCCCCTGACTCCGTCAGCCTGCAGAACTCGTCCAGCGGGGAGTCCACCTACTGCATGCCGCAGAACCCCAACGACTTGCCCTCCCCGGATGGGGACTACGACTACGACCAGGACGATTACGAAGACGGCGCCATCACTTCCGGCAGTAGCGTGACCTTCTCCAACTCCTGCAGCAGCCAGTGGTCCCCAGACTATCGCTGCTCCGTGGGGACCTACAACAGTTCCGGAGCATACCGGTTCAGCTCTGAAGGGGCCCAGTCCTCGGTAAGCCCCTCCTACCTTCTTCCTGAGAAGGGTTGCTCTCGTTTGCAGTCGAATAACTTGTAACTCATGGCAACCCCATGGGTTACGGAGTAGAACTGCTCCGTAAGGTTTTTTGGCTGTAATCTTTACAAAGGAGCACTGGTGGCTCAGTGGTTAAGCGCTCAGCTGCTAACCAAAAGGTCGTCAATTTGAACCCACCATCAGCTTTGCAGGAGAAAAGACCGGGCGATCTGCTTCTGTAAAAATTAAAAAACGCAAATGCGTGTCCATCGACTCGATTCCAACTCATAGCGATCCCATAGGACAGAGTAGAACGGCCCTATAGGGTTTCCAAGGAGCGACTGGTGGATTCAAACTGCCAACCTTTTGGTTAGCAGCCAAAGGCTTAACCACTGTGCCACCAGGGCTCCCCTGTAAAGTTTACAGCCTAGGAAACCCTATTGGGGCAGCTCTGCTCTATCCCATAGGATCGCTATGAGTTGGAATTGACTCGACGGTACCCATCAACAGTCTTTATGGAAGCAAATCGCCAGGCCGCTGGATGGGTTGAAACCACCAACCTTTAAGTTAGCAGCCAATTGCAAACCACTTGTGCCACCCATTGAAATGGAAATTGTCCATAGTCCATGCCCCTGTGGCACCATCCTTGGAATTAAGTCATACCCTAAGACAATACCACGATTTCAAGGACACACAATTTTGCTTGAGGCCTTAGAAAACTGGCATTTAAATATAGGCTTTAGCTTTGTCACAGGTTAGGAAATGAGACACACCCTTAACTAGAACTAGAATTGCCGAGGACATGTTGGAGAATTTTCCTGATGAACCTTATACTCCATACCATAGGATTTTATTTCTTGTTCTGGAGGAATCTTTAAGGCTTAAACACGCTTTTTCTAGTTTCTGGATCTATTTAGTTTACTTTTGTTTTTCCCTTTGGTCATCCATTAAATGCTGGCTGACTTTCTAAGGAAGTCTCTGGGTGGTACAAACAGTTAACACACTCCACTGTTAATGGTGGAGTTAATGGCATCCACCCAGAGGCTTCTCAGAAGAAAGGCCTGGCAATCTACTTCCAAAAACTCAGCCACTGAAAACCCTATGGAGCATAGTTCTGTAACACACGTGGGGTCGCCATGAGTCAGAATTGACCTGGCAACTGGTTGGTTGACTTTGTAAGCCTTGAAAATATTTTTTAGTGTAATGATTTAAAATGAATTAATTCTTGCATGGTTTGATTAAAATTTTGTTCTTAATTCTTGCATTAAAAAAAAAAAAAAACCTGTTGCCGTAGTGTTGATTCCAACTCATAACGACCGTATAGGACAGAGCAGAACTTCCCTGTAGGGTTTCCAAGGAGCACCTGGTAGATTCAGTCTGCCGACCTTTGGGTTAGCAGCCAAGCTCTTAACCGCTGCGCCACCAGGGCTCCAAATGGTTTGATTAAAATCATGCTCTTAAGCAGAAGTGTTTGTTGTTTTGCTTTGTTTTACAATAGGGAGTCTTTGGACTAAAGTATATTTTGTGTTTTATGTATCAATTTGACCTTAACATTTTGTAATTCTGAATTCTTTGGAATGCCTCCCTCTGTTGCAATGTTATGAATTGGAGTATGGCTTCTTTTTCGATTATTTTTACTTTTCAAATGTGGACGTATGATGGACCTTTTCATTGCTTGCTTTATGCCCTGTTTGCTCACTCTTTGCTTTCCCTGCCCTTGTCCAGTTTGAAGATAGCGAAGAGGACTTCGACTCTAGGTTTGATACGGACGACGAGCTCTCCTACCGACGGGACTCTGTGTACAGCTGTGTCACGCTGCCTTACTTCCACAGCTTCCTGTACATGAAAGGTACAGCCTGTGGCCATCAGAGAGCCTGGGGTAGAGGGTAGAGCAGTGGAGAATGGGGATTTTGTTTTCACTGAGGCTGATCGATGGGGACTGGGAAAGTTACCCTGAATACCTTAGTTAGGTGAGTGGAGGACACCGTGGTGGCATAGCACGGGTGACACGGTCATCCATAAAGAATGATGCCTTGATGCCTCCTGGAGTGACACAAAGTAGTAGGCTGAAGAATTTGCAAACACTGTCACTATTTTCCAAGAGCCCTGGTGGCACAGTGTTTCAAGTGCTCAGCTGCTAACTGAAAGATGTGGCAGTCTGCTTCCGTAAAGATTATGGCCTTGGAAACCCTGTGGGGCAGTTCTGCTCTGTCCTGTGGGGTCACTGTGAGCCGGAATCGACTTGACGACAAGAGTTTTGGTTTGGGTTTTTGGTCACCATGTTCAGCCCCGTTTCCTCTCTCTTAGCTGCCTCTCTCACCCCTGTTCTCTCTCCTTTCTTCCTACGTCTTTTTCTCTCTCCTTCCCCCTTCTCTCACGCTCACCCCCACGCATGTGTACGTGCACACACACGTACACACGTGTTGCTGCTGCTGGAGTTAGTGTGACTAATAGTGATGACACACTACGTTTTCTCTCCCCACAGGGGTATTGGGAAACCTGGAGGATATGCTATACGTGTGGAAAATAACGCTCAGAGGGCCACACCTTGCTTGGACTGCTCACTGTACCTTCTATCTATCCCACACTTCATGAGAATTTTAGTTGTACCGTGAAACCTGTAAGAGCCGGAACTCAATGAACTCCTTGTCTTTCCAGATCTCACAAGTTTTCCGCCTTTGACAGGGTGCAGTATTACCATGTTTCTGTCGCTCCTTTTAGTGGAAAATATTTTCATTTTCCTTCTCTGACAGGTATTCACCTTACACAGGCTTGGGCTTTCGTAGGTTTCACCGTATATTATAATAGCTGTTAAATTTTGAATAATGTACCTTCATGCTTGGGGGCCTTGAAACATACTCCTTTTCGATATTATTCAGTTAGGATCTTGTACTCAGCCGTATTCATGTTCTTGACTCTGTCTTCTAACTCAGCATCAGTTCCATATAAGTAGGGATAATGAGAAACCATAATCACCAGTTTCTTTTTATTGTGGTTAAAAATATATAGAACAAAACATTTGCCAGTTCAGCATTTTTTACACGTACAGTTCAGTGACATTGATTACGTCCATCATGTTGCGCATCTGTTACCATTATCCTTTTCAGATTATTCCACCACCATTAACAGATACTCCGTGCTCCTTCAGCAATGACTCCCACTTTCCCCCGCCTTCCCGTCACCCCTGTAACCACTAGTGAGCTTTGGTCTCTATACATTTGCCCATTCCAGATAAGTGAGATCGTACCATATTTGTGCTTTCACTCAGCATAAAATTGTCCAGGTTCATCCATGTACCACCAGTTTTTGATAGTCATTCAACAGAGGGGATGGTCTTGTTTATCACATTGTTCTAGATTAGATGACGGGGAGGGGTTAAGAACTGGGGGATGGGGCAAGGATAACAAGAGCCATCATCTCTAGGTGGTGTCCTTCAGCACTGCCACCCTGTCTTTTCTCTGCTTTCTCCCATCTACAGGGTTTTTTTTTTTTTTTTTTTTTTGTCGGTCCTTTTATTCCCTTTCTTTAATACAACCATCTGTATTCACTTTTCTTTTTCTACCTCTTTCCCTGTGAGGAAACGTCTTTATTCTGTGTTTCTGTTTCCGTGTTTCTTCTGTTCTCCTTTGCGTCTGTCTTCTGCTGGTGTATTTATCTGCCCGTCTAGCTAGGTAGCTTTCATCTGTCCATCTGTGTGTATGTGTATGTCTGTCTGTGTGTGTGTATGTGTGTGTGTATGACTTTCTTCTGTCCTCCTTAACATTTTTTCTTCTATTTTTCTTCTTAGCACCCAAGGTCTTCATGAAACCCCCACCAAGATTTGGCTTTGGGGGAGACTTCTGTTTCCTGAAGCCACTGGTTAGTGTAGATTTTTAGAGGTGTGTTGGGATAAAAAAGATTGAGAATTTCTCACCTAGCCAGTGAGCATCAGGACACCTAATAAAGGAAAAAAATATAATCACAAATCAGAGCTTAGTGTTCCAGTAAGTTTCTGATCATAACATTTTAAAATTTTTTCATGCATTTCTCAGAGTAAATACAATTTAAACAAAAATTTTTTTTTTCTATTTAGGGCTTCAATTTATTTTTTTAAAAATAAGAAAATTGACAGGCACATACGCAAAAATGTATAAAACAACATTCATTTAAAAAATTAAAAATGAATAATACACTTTTGAGAAATGTTCAGCCTTATTAAATAATCAAAGGAAACAAACAAAAACGATGAGTCCCTTTTTTTTTTATTAAACCCAGATGTGCACAAAGCAATCCAAGTTTGAGGTGATACTGGCTCGGACCAAGCTGGTCCCAAGGGAGACTGTAAGAAGTGGTTGTTGTTGTGGGGTGCCGTGGAGTTGATTCCAGACTCATAGCTACCCCATGTGACAGAAAAGAGCTGCCCTGTGGGGTTTTCTTGGGTGTAATCTTTACTGAAGCAGATCACCAGGTCTGTCTCTCACAGAGCCACTGGGTGGGTTCAAACCACCAACCTTCCAGTTTGCAGCCAGGTGCTTAACTGTTGTGCCACCAGGGTTTCTACAAGAAGTGGTTACATCCTGGGTATTTATAGAAGGGGGGCCAGCAGGACAATTCCTGGATTGCATGTAGGGTATAAGAGAGGAGGGAGAGGGAAGCTATGCTGGGCAGGAGGGTTAAAGATGGCAGCCTGTCCTTAAACTAAACTTTTAAGTATTAATACCTGTTCCCCTCCCCTCAATTAAGTTTCATCCCCTAAGTTAGCTTTAGAAATTCCCTGTCAAACGTCACTTTTATTTATAATATACTGCACCAGGTTTATGACATAGTTTTGTCTGATTAAAACAAATGAAATTAGAAAAGATACGATCAGAGCTTTCTAAGATCAGCTCAAGACGGTTGGTGGGTGAGTTTTTGGAAACTCATGTTAATAAAACAAGTTGTACAAATGCAGCATTGTTCAATTTTTAGTAAGTCTTAAAGTGGTGGCAAAAAAGTTTTGGAGAAATCAATCATAGAAACCAGTCAAGCATTTATATCTTATGAGTATAAATGAGTTTTCACAAGCCTAGTAGCCTGCTGAAGGTGTTTACGATTAGGAAATCAGTAACATTGATCAGATTCTCTAAATAATAAGTATCTACAGATGGCATAGAATTGGAGAAGGAGGACTGGGATGAGAGCAACAGATTATACTTGTCATGAGGGCTGTTTATTGTGATGACTTCTAATCTGTATCTTTGAAGCTACTGTGAACAATCAGTTTTATCACTTAAAGACGATAAGATAATGGAATAACTTTGTACTACAACTTCCTCTGGGATTGTTTTGAGAAACCTAGATTAAAGCCACATATAAAAAGAAAACGAATGTTTCATTCTGGTACTCCTTGGCAAGTTCACTGTTTGTCCGGAAACAGCTCTGGAGTTTAGCACGTTTACGGGAATATCTTGGTAGGTGAGCAGGAAACGCTGCAGATAGAAGGAGGGCCAGCAGCCTTGTGTAGCTCAACAAAGCATGCACACGGTCTGTGCTTTGTGTACTGAATACAGACCAGTGGTGTCAATTATAATCACTAAAGAAATACCCTGGAAAGGTCTGTGTTTTAAATTTACTTTCTAATTTAGAAAAACACTTATATTGGTTACATTTACTTTAAATGTATTTGTTTTTATTATTTTCTGATCAAAAAATAACTTGTGGACATTTTATAATAAGCTACTCAACTGCATTATATTCTTCAGGGCGTTAATTAAAAGCAGTTTTGAAGGATGGCTGTTAAATGTTAATGTTGGGCATCCTTGGGGAATCTAGAAAACTAAGGTAAAATTATTCTGCTCGAAGAGTATTAGAAGTTTGTTTTTTTAATCTTATGAAAGATGACATTAGCCTTGTCTAAATTTTCTTAACCAATACACTGTGTCCACTAAATAAATTACAGTAAAATTCTCATTTTTCTAAAAAGACCAGACTTACTGGTCTGACAGAGACTGGCAGAACCCCCGAGACCGTGGCCCCCAGACACACTGCTAACTCAGAACTGAAGCCACTCCCGAAGTCCACCTTTCAGCCAAAAATTAGACAGGCCTATAAAAAAAAACAGTAACACATATGAGGAACGTTCTTGAGTTCAGTCAAGTAAACGAGACCGAATGGGCAACATCTTCCCAAAAGCCAAGACAGAAGACAGAAAGGGCCAGGAAAACTGGACAAATGGACGCAGGAAGCTGAGGTGGAAAGGGGAAGGGGGCGCGTGCTGACACAATGTGGGCATTGCAGCCAATGTCACAAAGTAATTTTTGAATGAGAAACTAATTTGTGCTGTAAACTTCCACCTAAAGTACAATAAAAATTTTAAAAAGTAAAATTGAAAAAAAAAAATCTCATTTTTCAGTACCAGTTACAATTTAGTCTGGACTTTTCTGAAATTGTGTTTCAAATTCTACATCGTTTCCCGTACGTATTTCAAACGTTTCTGGATGATGATGTCTTTCATTGAAAGATGTGCTTATCTGAAAACGCTGCATTTTAATTTCCTATGTACTTTAGAGTTTATTGCTAAACTGATCGTTCTTGTTCCCACATTGACCAAATAGAGAGGGAAAAGTGTAAACTTTGACACCATTTAATAATAATTTCACCTCTCTGGGGTGTTTGGAAATAAGTGTGACCCATACATATGGAAATGTTTCTCACCCCCATGGCCCTTGGCTCATCCTTGGGTTAGCGTTACCAGTTCTTTGCTTTCTGTTAGCTTCTCAAAGAACAGGAACTGCTTTGGATATAAGGAAGGGACTCCATTCATATATAATCCAACTAAACTCATGTAATATCCACTAGGAGTACAAGCCAGAGGTGTCACCTCTCACTGAGAGCAGTTCCGTTGGGTCAGAGTTAACCTTAAGATGTATGATGTTGTTGTCCAGTTGGATTGACTGCTCTTCACCCTGTGTCTACCCGGTCTTGGGCTAACAGGTGGCTTAATGAATTCCTGGAAACGCCGCTGGTGTGTCCTCAAGGACGAAACTTTCCTGTGGTTCCGCTCCAAACAGGAGGCCCTCAAACAAGGCTGGCTCCACAAAAAAGGCGGGGGCTCCTCCACACTGTCCAGAAGAAACTGGAAGAGGCGCTGGTTTGTGCTCCGACAGTCCAAGCTGATGTACTTTGAAAACGACAGCGAGGAGAAGCTCAAGGGCACTGTAGAAGTCCGGACAGCAAAGTACGTTGAGGCACCCAGAGGTGGGCCAGTTGGGAGGCTTTCTGTGCTTGCTTGCTCACTCATGCCAACAGTGAGCACGATCTGATTCCGGTTTGCTTTCTCAGTAAGAGTGCTTCATAGGTGGTGGTGTATCTTTCTGTTAACAAGGCACATAATGGCCAGTTGTCACTCTTGTAATGTTGTTTTTGTTAAATGCCGTCGAGTTGGTTCCAACTCATGGCTACCCTATGTAGTACAGAACGAAACACTGCCCGGTCCTGTGCCATGCTCACA